GCTTACGAAGAATGAGACAAAGACATGTTGCCTGGTGGGTGTCCCGTAGTTCTCTGACGTCGCTGACGGACGGCGGCTCTTTTATTAACATACATCACGTGACATCATAAATGCATAAACACACATAACACAAGATAAGACAACCCGAGAAACCCACCATCAAAGCATACTAGACAGAACACACGTTGCGCCACCTGGTGGCAAAATCACTTATCACAGATCACTACACTCTTTCCTCCTTAAAATTTTTAAAAAGAAACGGAGGGAAACAAAGCACAAAACACAATTCGAAGTTCACCAAAATAAAAACAACGCTTAAAAAACATTCTTTTTTTGCTCTCTCCCCTTGTCCGTTAAAAAAAATTGTAACATGTGGAACCGGGTATCGGCTCACATCGGCGTTCCTGGCAACGAAACGGCCGATCGTTTGGCTGTCGCTGAGCAGTAGTAGCTCGTTTCATTAATGTCACCACAGTACGACAAAAACCATAGACAGTTTCTACATCAGATACATACACAGTCTCCGGTTTCCTATAGCCTGCCTCGAGTTGCTGCAGATTTGGACTGAAGTTTGTTTGCCTTTGTTTTCCTGTTTTGATGTCCATGACACAGGTGTAGTGTATGTTAGTAATTGTTAGTGGGTAGTTAGGTGTTGTCAAGAGTCATGGACATCTTTTTACCTTGGCCAAGGATACCTAAAGCGTTTTCATTATTAACATGCTATGACATTGTGCTATGTAAGGATGCAAAACAAAGACTCATTGGAGACATTTGGAGGAATATAAGAAACACATGGAGAGACATCTCCAAAAACAAGCTCTTGGACCTGAAGACTACACTCCACACGGGAACTCCAAACAGTCTCCAAAACAACAACTATGCGTTAAACAGTGTCGATAAATGAATTCTGTTCACTTTCCATATTTGAGTCATCTGAAGAAATGAAAGACATGACATAGTCTTTCAACTTTGCTGGGAGAAGTTTCTTTCGTTGTGGTCGTGGGGGAGTACTAGTACACTGTAAAAAATTTACGTCAATTTGACGTGTCTTTCCCTCGTCAAAAAAGACGGGCACACTCATCGTTTCAAAATACGAGGATGCCCTCATTATTTATTTGGCGCGAGAGCCGAGCCTTCCAGAAAAGCCGAAATCCCAGGAGTGCAAGCATGCGCAGATGGCGAAGAGTTGCCCCGCCGCGCAGCGCGCAGCCCCGCAGCTCTTTCGCGGCCCTCCTCTCTCGCAGAATGGCGGTGTTGGTCTGTGTTGGTGCGTTGTTGCGGTTGTTGCAACACCCATCTCTGTTGTTTTGCGGTTTTGCTCCGAGTCGTGCGCCCGTCCCGCGCAGGCGCAAACAGAGGTTGCAGCAGCTATCGCCATGCTATCGTTCTTCGGGCGTTTGTCGAACTCGCCTCGGTGGCTGTTGACATCGTTGTCAGTGTAGTGTTCTGTGATGCATCAGGGCCTCATCAGCTCATCGACGACTAAATCGCCCACTTCAAGGTATGCAATGTGACTTTATCCTTGCAATGTCTTGCTTACGTATTGTGATCGAATATTTCTCCTTGTTCGCGGTTCGAGTGCTTTCGGTTGAAGACGGAAAGCGCTCGAGCGTGTTCGAAATCTGCGGTCTGAGAACACGGCGTCGGAGTCATGCGGTTTAGAGAAGCTGGTTTTAGCGAAGGCCGTTTTACCGACCCCAGTTTATCGAATTCCTTTATAGCGAAACCCAGTTTAGAGAAAATGGCGATGAGCCTCCTTTTAGCGAATTCGGCAGCCGCGAAGCGGCGTGTGCGGATAAGTCAGATGGGTTAATATTTTTGTAATGAGCCGCCGCAGACTGCCGCCGCGAAGCGGCGGGAGCGCAGCGGGGGGCTTGGGTTAACACGCACACCAGTGATACACGCGCGAAGTAGAAAACCTTTTTTTAAATAGAGTCCCTTTTTCGATAAACGGCAATTCTCTAAACTGAGGCTCTCCTTTCTCTAAACTGTGCTTCGATAAAACGTGCCCGTTCTCTAAAACGTGCTTCGACGAAATGGCATTCTATCAACCGTAGTAAACCCCACGGGCGTCCACCGACACATTGTGCTTTTGGTGTTTCTTTTTCAGCACGTTATGTTTCCGTTATAATGTGCACGTGTTTATTTATCCGTGCTGCAGCGGCGGCGCCTTTACTCAGAGCCCTGCGCCTTATCTCTTAGGAGAACTCGTGGGTACGAGCTTTTATGGAAGCTTAGTTTCTGTGTTTGTTTTTGCAACAACATTCATGCAGCCAGACAACATAAGCGAGCGGCTAACGTCTTTGTAACGATGCAATGTCATTGAACGACGTTTTAGCGGCTTCGAAAACGGAAGTTTCCAGTGCACTCGATTCACGAGTCTCTAAGACGTACACAAAATTATTGGCCGCCCTCGTAATTTGACGGGAAATTTCTCAAGCAGTTTGGAGGGTTAATTATTGTAATCATCCACTCTGCAGCTCGCTGCTGGCTCTGACTTTGTATTTAAAAGAGTGCGTATTTTTATATCGTATTTTCCGGGCTATAGTTCAAGGCATGTTTAAAAGTTGAAATTTCAGGCTGTTCGGACTCTCTACGCGTCGGACTATACACGAATTTTGTTTTTCAATATCGTTAATTATGAGGAAATGTGACGGATTTTGTGAGTGAAAGAGTATGTTAATGATGATTTATGTATATTATAGGCAGGCACGTAGCCAGGGGGGAGGCCCATGGGCCCCCCCCCCCCCCCGAAATTTTCCGTTTTGCTGGGACCTCCTCTCCCCCCTCCCCCTCATACAGCATTTTGTCATAGGCCCCCCCCCCCCCCCCCCCCCGAAACAAAATTTTGGGTACGTGCCTGATTGTAGGCTTCTTTGTGTGCTAAGGAAGCAGACATGTGTCAAAAAGTGCCGTCTATAAGAAGATTTTCGTGTCGACTAAGCACCAGGCGCCGACTATGCACGACACGCGGACTATGCACCGGGTGCGGACTATCTAAGTATCTAAGCAAGAACTTTTACTTTGGACCCCCAATTTGCCCCTGCGGTCTATGCACCGGGTACGGACTATAGCCCGGAAAATACGGTACATATATTTTAGGTTTTTGCATGTCCTATATTCCGTTCACGCCTACGCTGACAGTGCGGTGCAAGCTACTTGTTCGCCAACTATAATTAAAGCCTCTTATCGCTTGACCTCGCTCTCCCCGCGTGAGTATGCGGAGAGGCGGTGACCACGTTGTGCAGAATCGACAGTTGACTGGTCAAACAACCATGCAGCTTCCACCGCACTGTCTGTTTAGGGGTGAACATTTCGCAAGATCGTAATAATTAGCTCAGCATGCCCAACGGCTGATCGGCTTCGCAGTTTATATTTTATTTATTTTTCTGCGCTTTCTTGTTTTATTTCTCATTGATGAGTACTGTTCATTCATTTGCGCACCTGAGTCATTAGACAGCTGAAATGACGTCGGAAGCTTCTTGTGATATAGTTTTTTTTTTTTTTTTTTTTGTAATCTTGAACGGATTGTAAAGGAAAATGAAGGTGATATATATGTGGATGCCGTCCTCACTGTATAATTGTAGGGCTCGGCGGACATTAGACAGGCGGATGAACGTCAAAATGTTTACTAATTAACCAAAAATTGTAAAGTCACTGTTTAATTACAAAGCTTTTTACTTTTCTTTTCTTATTTCACTGTAGAATACACTTGTGCAGCTTCAGACACCCCGGCCGTGACACTTCCCCTTTGGACTCGGTTTAATGAATTTGTGTTTAGTATAGTTGCGTTATTTGTGTTTAGTATAGTTACGTTTATTATCATTAGTGCATGATTTTTTTTTAACGAGATTATAATTGCTTCCTCTTTTTTACAGTGGCTATTTTCAAACCTAACGTTGCATTTGCAAATGTTGGTGTGCATGTGCATGTGTGTGTCTGCATCTAACTGTGTCACGTGACACCTGTGACATCCTAATGACGTCTGCATATAGTTGTTTCACTTTGCACTCGGGCCCAAAGTATAGCTATGTTGGACTGTTAATTTCAGGGTGGCATATCCGACAAGCCTCATGTTGGCTTTGATGCGCCCGTCATGCTAACTGATGTGCGCTATATACAATAAATGTATTATATTATTATTATTATTTAGCAGTTTAATGGGCCTCTTCGCAATTGCAATTTTAAAGAGAGTAATGTAACCCCAAAACTCTAACCGGCGATTTCCGAAAAACATGGATTACCTCAAAACTTGCTGCTTTTTTACAAAATTGTTTCATTTAGGTTGGGCTTTAATAATGTCTCCGTTTAAAATTGCAATCGCAGCATAGCCCATTATACCAATACTTAAGAAGGTAATTAACACATTTTGGTTAGTAAACATAATTTTATGTTTATTCACTTATCTAACGTTTGTCATTGCTGTGGTATTGCTGGCTACTGCAGTGTGTGACCCAATTGTTATATGTTTGTTATAGGTACTTTGGTCAGATAAACCTCAAAAAAGGTACCAGGTGTGCACCATGCCATACCGCAAAGAGCGGCATTTATCCGAAAGTGCTCAGGCTCATCAAGGAAGGGAAATGAACCCGTAGGTACCATCCAAAGATTGCCAGCCGCTCTCTTCAAGCCGCATGGAGAGCTCTATGCGTTCAGCAAGCGTTCCTAGTGGTCCTTGGGATATTTCATGCTGGAGGCTTATGTAATATTGGTCTTGTCTTTGTAACTTTGTGGGTATAAGGCAAGCTGTATTAAATTTATTGCAGGTTCCAGTTGCACCAAGCAGGTGCACTCACCCTCAGGTTGCAAGCCGCTCTCTTCAAGTCGCATGGGGTGCTTTATGAGGTGAGCAAGCATTTCTAGCAATCCTTGGGACATGTCGTGCTTTAGGCTTATGTATTACTGGCCTTGTCTTTGTTACATTGTGGTATATGGCAAGCTGTACTAAATTTTTTGCGGGTCCCAGCTGCACCAAACAGGTGCACGCACCATTACAGATTGCAAGCCGTTCTCTTTAAGCCACATGGAATGTTCCATGAGGTGAGCGTGCATTTGTAGTGGTCCTTGGGACATGTGCTATAGGCTTATGTATTACTGGCTTTGTCTTTGTGGTATACGGCAGGCTGTATTAAATATATTGCAGGTCCCAGCAACAAAAATTGCAAGCCGCTCTGTTCAAGCCGCGTGGAGTGCTCTCTGAGGTGAGCAATGATTTCTGGTGGTCCTTGGTTTATGCCCTTCTGGGGGTTTATGTAATACTGACCTTGTCTTTGTTATTTTCTGGTATATGGCAAGCTGCATTAACTTTCTCGCAGTTCCCATCTACACCAAGCGGGTTGACCCACCGTCAGACCGCAAGCCGCTGTCTTCATGCCGCACAAAGTGTTCTCTGAGGTGAGCAATCATTTCTGGCTGTCTTTGGTGCATGCCATGCTGGGGGTTTATGTAATACTGACCTTGTCTTTGTTATTTTCTGGTATATGGCAAGCTGCATTAACTTTCTCGCAGTTCCCATCTACACCAAGCGGGTTGACCCACCGTCAGACCGCAAGCCGCTGTCTTCAAGCCGCACAAAGTGTTCAGTGAGGTGAGCAATCATTTCTGGCGGTCTTTGGTGCATGCCTGCTGGGGGTTTATGTAATACTGGCCTTGTCTTTGTTACTTTCTGGTATATGGCAAGCTGCATTAACTTTCTTGCAGGTCCCAGCTGCACCAAGCGGGTAGACCCACCGTCAAAGACCGCAAGCCACTTTCTTCAAGCCGCACAGAGTGTTCTGAGGTGAGCAATCATTTCTGGCGGCCCTTGGTACATACCATGCCGGGGGTTTATGTAAAACTGGCCTTCTCCAGTTTGATCCAGTTTTACCTAAGGAAAAGGTGGACCTCTACAGTGGGATGGACATGCATTCAATATTTTTATATACATGTATACAAAGCTGTCTATTTTGATTCGAACGAAATTTTAAAAAAACCGGCACGAGTTACTTAAATGATTCCCTCACTGTGTGTTTGTGGGGCTTGGAGGACATTAGATAAGGGGATAACAGTTGCAGTATGTTAATCAAAACTAATGAACACAATTTTTTTAATAATGTTTTTAATTAATTGTTTTATGGGATACGTTTCAATTCTAGTTTCAAAGGCAGTAAATATTAGACTAACAAAATTTCTGTATAGCAACAAGGTTCAAGATATGGAATGCTAAAAATTTGCTTTTTTTGTCACCCGATTCGAAAATTGCGCACTCGGGGAAGACCTCAGGATGTTGTGCGGACGTAGTTGCTTCGGACGCACCTTTTTTATCTTGGAAGTATGACGCGGATGCATCTACTAAGGACACACTGTCGAGATAGTGACGATGTGCCCAGTACGACTATGTCACTCTTCCACCCACCATTAACGGCACAAATTCTTGAGCTCCTGAGCGAGGTTTTTGCATCCGACATTAAAACAGAAAAGTTGGACACTGAATATGTGGAAGCTGCTTGGCATTTCGTGAATTGTTAAAGTCGGGATAGCCTTTAATATTGGCTGGCTTTTAACACTGCTTATGCAGCATGGCCCATAAAGTCATTAGTTACAAAGCTAACAAATTTTCGTCAATTAGTCAACATACTGTGACGGTTATCCCCTTTACTGATGTCCACAGAGTCCCACGAACGCGCAATGAAAAAGACAGTCTCATAACTCTCGCGGCCTTTTTTGAAAATTCTGTTAGCTTTGATATAGAATGATGTGTATACATGTAAAACGACCTGTAGAATGTAATCATGCACTTGATTGTGTTACAAGGCTTTGTTTTTCACCCAATTAAGTAGTGCATTTTTTATCGCAACCTTCCAAAGATAAGCAAAGCATCCAGTTTGGTATTCAAATTGTATTCTATTTTGGTAATAAATCAACGGACTACTACTTGGTTCGCCTTTGGCTTCATACTGAGAATAATAGGCATGTGCGAATCATGAATTTTGGGCTTAAAGTGTATAATGACTTAAGCTTATTAACTTTTCAGTTGAATATCACAGTGTCTGCACCTCTCTCCAAGCCTGTTACTTAGTGCCGTCACGCTAGCCTCAACCATCCTGACAGTGTTGGTATAACTTGTTTAGCTGTAGGCTGCTTTGATTACTTTAGTACATATGTTTTCAAAATGCAGTAATATGTCAGTGAAGGAGCATGATCGTGCACGAATAGTAGCTTTAGGTATGGTACAAAAAAATACCTAATATCAGGGGCAGATAGTCATCCACTGAAATAAAGTTAGATGTGAATAATTTTGATTACCAAACTGAATACTCTTAAAATTCTCAAGGGTCTGCTTAAGCCGCACAGTTGTAATCGAGGCAGCAAGCAAAGCTTGTCATTTATTTATGCTTGCCAGCAGCATGCTGCATGGGCATATAGATTTATAAGCGTACATAATCAGCATGAGGGCAATACATATACTTTTAAATGAAATTCTAATTGATCTCGTTATCATCGCCCCACTGCCAAAGCTCGGTTAGTTCTGATCCAAATTATGTAGTGGCTCTGGCTATCATGAGGTCAAGGCCCACATAGAGGTTGTGAGTATAAATATACGATTTGATGGCCTTCTCGCCATGCTCATCCTTCAATTTCAAATTAGAACTGTTGCTGCAATGTCGTGACATAGCATGTTAGGACATTGCAGCCTAATACATATTCTTGATAACAGAATAGCTACAGTGTTATTTGTTTTCTAAATTTGACCTTGAGGGGAGTACCGACATCCATCAGATGCATAAACATTCACGTAACCATTTTTAAATTTTTTTCTTAATTCCTCCTGTGTACATGTCAAAACCTCTCCGCTATGGAGGTGTGCATTTCCCACCAAAGTATGAGTCTGCACTGCGACAAAGCGAGATTCTTGCGACCGGGGTGTTACACCACCACCTAGATAAGCAGAAGGCCTCCGCACCGTCATCACAGCCAGATCGATTGAGGCCTGAGATCGGGCACGAGTGCTGCGTCAGTGTTCGGCCGGGGCTCGTGTTCCATCAGCGCTTCGAAGGTCGGACTCGGGCCCAGTAGCCGAGTTAGCGCCATCCGACTGTAATGACGTTTCATGAAGGGAGAGGAGGCGATGCCGAGGCTTTGATTATTCTAGATGGTGTTGGGTGTTAGCGCGATTAATGCGATTGCGGAGTCTGCTCCATGGGTTTCGCTTCTCCGCAGCGCAGTGCACATGCGGAGAAGCGCACTGAACAAAGCCAATTCATTGCAATGGTGACTTTACGAGCGCTTTGAAATGTTTGGCGTAAACGACTTTATTTTCGCGAGCTTGATATTTCATACATTTTGTGAAGTGTCAGTTTTGGAAATACTTTGCAGGAACAATATTTCACAATCAGGAGTAATGTTCAATGTATTCGTAGCCATGGGGTTACTTATTTGCATGACCAATTTGAAGCAATTTCGATTAACTCGCAAAAACTAAGCCTTTGCAAAAATTAAGCCGTTTACAGTAGTACGATTAATGTTGAAACCAATATCAACTACCGTATAATACTAAACTGCTATAAGAAAATTTTAATATTAGCACAGCCCTGAAAAATGGCCATTTGCAGATGTTTTCGCTGTGGCCTTCATCAATCTATATGGGCTTCAAATGTAGCAGCTGGAACCTTGAATCTGGAAAGGCTATTGTTTGTCACACATTTTCTTTATGGTGCCTAAGGTTTGATGTAATAAATGTTGTGGCCTGCAGTGAACACTATTACCTGTAGCATAGCCCTGGGCATGCAAAGAAGGCACACCAGCAATGTCTGACATATCAGACTTTCAGAAATGCTATTGTCCGATTTTCCTCACCCTTTTGTCAGGATGAAGCTGTTACTATCTTTCTTGCTTTCCTCTCATAGTGGTAGCTTGAGCGAGTTATGTGACGTTATATCATAGGGTGGCATAGGGTAATTTTCTCTTCTCTTTTCCCGCAGGATGTAATGGCGCACCATCATGACCAGGGAGAGTGTACAGTGAGGAAGCTCGGAAACTTTAATAAAGTGATAAGTAATCTTTCAATTTTTGTCTTTATAATTACGTGAAGAACACTGATCGTAATGACTTATGCTACACATACATACTTTCAGCTGAAAAATGCAATCCACCTTTTCTTTATTGCTTTTGTCACACAGTTTCAGAAGACGCTGGTACGTCATTTTCACGAGGAATGTTTGGAAATAGAGCTGCCAATGATTTCCTCGTAATTTTCACGTACAAAGCCGCAAATAAAAATGACGACTTTTCTAGTCAATTTAGAAAAACGACAGTACGTTATTTTCACGAGGGAAGATTTGAAAACGATTCAATCGTCATTTTCACGTCTATGCTCGTAAACTAAGAATGCGGTGCCTCGTTTTTTTGACAACTTTTCCCACATAATTTCAAAAAATGATTGTATGTTATTTTGATGGGAAATGTTTGGAAATAGAGCTGCCAGAACTTTCCTCGTAAATTTCACGACTCATTTTTAAGAGTGTAGCCAATGGGTTTGCCAAAGTCACTGACGGCTGGAATACGAAACACAATCACGGCTTGAAGGGTCGCACTGCGCAACCAATGGGTCACAGGGCACCTCCACTTGTTGGGGAACCCCACTTGGTTCGCCAGGACTTGGTTCCTCTGGGAAAGCACGCTGCATACTCCCTCTATGTGGATGATATTCAAATTTCGGTTTCTTCTTGTAATTTGTCTAGCCGCGAGCGGCAACTGCAGCTTACCATTAACAAAATTAGTAAGTGGGCTGACGAAAATGGGTTTAAGTTTTCGCCCAAGAAGACTATCTGTGTGCCATTTTCTCTGCGTCTGGCGTTGTTTCTAGATCCAGAACTGACATTAAACAGGGTTCCTATTAGGGTCAAGACAGAGCATAAATTTTTGGGTACAACGTTTGATAAAAAGCTAAACTTCGTTTCCCATCTGAAGGGCCTGAAAAAGAAGTGCCTTAAATCAGCCAATGCTCTTAAAGTCTTAGCGCACAAGTCATGGGGATCCGATAGAATATGTCTGCTTCGCTTATACAACTCCCTTATCCGGTCACGTCTGGACTACACTCCAACAAAAGGGTTGTCGTAGGGTACTACGCTCGGGGTAGTCAGAAGCCGTCACAGATATCACTACCCCCCCCCCCCCCTTCGTTATACTAACAACCCCATGGGCAGTCACATGGCACGCAATCAGCAGGTAATCACAGTGAGCACCCCCAAAAGCAACATGGCGGCTGGCAAGCGACAGTGGAGCAATACGAGTAAGGCCTAGCGAGCTGGACTGCTTTTTGCTAAAATACGATTCTCAACTGCGTACGCCCGTTCGCTGCCTTCCGTGCGCACAA